TGCCTGTTCACGCTTCGAAAAACGTTCTTATTTATTTGTGTACGGACCAGACGGAAAAAAAAATTATTATAAAAAATTACTTGAAAAACGTTATTAAAACACAAACATTTTTTTTTTTTTTTTTGTTGGCATTGCAACGCATGCTGGGTTCTCGCTAGTACGTAAGATTACTGCACTGATCACTTCAGATGCGCCCATGGATGTGTTCGCACACATACCTGTGAAAGTGTTCACGGACGGCTCTTCCAACTTGAGAGAAAGAACTGCTGGGTACGGTGCGCTCGTACTGTACCCAGCAGGAGGACCACCAACAGAAGAGCTCTCGGGACGCTGTAGAACTGCAGCATCAAATTTCGATGCAGAGCTTATGGCTATACACAGGGCCTTGGAGAGAACACATGAAACACTGAAGGGGGCGGAGCTTGCGGGTCTCGATGTAGTCGTCCACTCGGACTCAAGATCTGCTCTCGAGATCTTGGGAAAGAGACAGTGTACCACAAACTTGGTGGACGTCATCGTTGATGACGTGTGTGAAATTGGTGAACTAGGGGGCAAGGTGACAATGCAGTGGCAATGAGAGAGCAGACACTCTGGCGAAAATCGGGGCTGCCCAGCCTCAGCCAGAAGTACCAATAACTTACTTGGGAATTAAAAACTGGCTGGCGGACCATTTCTGGACGAAGTGGTACAGGCAATGGGCTGACACCACGACCGCCAGAGGAGTCTTTTCAAACCTGCCCACTCCTAGCAAACAAAACCCATGGTGGTGGTAAGGCCTCAGACAGCAGAGCTTAGTGACGCAGATGCGCACCGAGCACTGCCCCATTAGCACATACTTCTGGAGGCTGGATAACAACAGGGATCCTACCTGCGGGCACTGCAACCTGGACCCGGAGACTCTGGAGCATCTGTTGACCGAATGGCCCTCACTAGATCTCCAGGGGGAAGCCAGGGCGGTTTGAGGAATCCTTTGTGAGGAAAATGTTGTACGGCTCAGCTGAGCAGATGGAGATGATAGCCAATTTACTAGCCGGGGTCATAAGAGAGTAATCTCAGACCTTCACCAGAATATGTGTGTTAGTTAGATGCGCCTCGGAATGTGGCTCGGTTATCAAACGAGTTAGTCATGCGGGAGTTGTCGTTGTTGCGATCCTGCAGAGTTACGGTTATTACTTTAATGAGTGGAAGACCAAGTCGTCTGTGGTCGTCTCCCAACAGCTGAACTCAAGCACTTGTGAGATGGAATTAGCTTGTCGGCGGAACTAGAACGCCTGTTAGACTGAACTTTGCAGGTTTGATGGACACAATTATATTCGGCTTTTGGAGTGTGTGTGTTTTTTTTTTCTAATGGTTTGGCCGTTAGTATAAGATAATAAGTAATCGTATAATTCAAAATATGTTCAATACGGTTAAGTTGACATTCAAAGAAAAGTTTTAAATCGAATTAGTGAAGCTCTAGCAGACTATATGGCGAGGCATAACTTAAGCTTTAAACAGCTGCCAAAGGCCTCCTTCCCGTGACGTCACAATCCTGCGCTAAGGCGTTCTACTATACTGGGTCATGCCCCGAGTTGTGAATGAACGCAAGGGAACGACGTTCCTACAAGACTGGAACTGTACTTTTTTTTTGTAAATGTATATATATATATTTTAGGCTAATTTGGAGAGATAACACCCTGACGTCATTTGGTTCCGATATGGTCAAAACCCTGGCTCCAATAGGGTCAAATCCCTGGTTCCAAATAGTCAAAACCCTGGTTTCGATAGGGACAAAACCCAGGTTAGGGATAGGTTTAGGGTTCAGGTTAGGTTTAGGAATAGATTTAGGGTTCAGGTTGGGTTTAAAGATACATTTAGGACATAAGTATGCGGGTCGCGGCCAATGTTCCCTTTAAGCTGCGCGGCTGCGGGGCCGCGCAGCTATCTCACAGATGCGGCACGGCAGTTTTGAGTATCCGCGCAACAAATTTCCATGTAACTGTTTGTTTGTGTTTGTGGGCTATAAAATTTTGCATACAAAAAATTGATGCTGTAAAACTATGCACACAACTATATGATTTTGCACACGAACCAAAAAACCTAAGAGGGAACATTGGTCGCGGCAACCAAGATTGCGGCCACGGTGATATCTCTATAAATTTACCTTTTTTTTTATTTTGGGAGTTGAAAGGAAGATCTTGGATCAGATCCACATTTTTGTGGCGAATTACTTGTAAAAAGCAAAGCATTTCTTCGTATTTTTGGAGGGGGGTGGGGGTAGGGAGTGTAATGTTAAACCATGATTTAATTTAAAAGGTAACCACTTTTTCCCCCTACCCTTATATTGAAATACAAATATGTTCATTAATAATTGTAACTTTTATCCTATGCTTGTGAATCTTCTATCTTCTATATCTTAAGGGGCCCACGATCAATTTATTGATCATTTTGGCTCCTATGCATGTAGATGGGATTTGCAATGTTTATGTTCCTGGTGTTGATGATGAAATTTCACTGATTTACAGTGCCACTTTGTGAGGGAATCATGCACTAGGGGGTTGAAGGCTTGAGGCAATAGACACAAATGTGTCTAGTGTTGTCGCCTCAATCTTTTGAAAGATTGTTCCAGCTCCTATGCTGGCTTCTTGCTGGTATGAGCCTGAATTGCCTGTCATGGCCTCGTCGCTGTCTTTGGAGTAGAGGGACGAGTTTCTGTTTAATACTGATAAACTCGATGACATTCTTATGAAGTGTCCAAATTCGTTCCACGACTCTTCCTTGGGTTAGCCATCTTACATCACTGTGCAAAAGATAAATCACAATGTCTCGCAATGATTCATGTTTGTACGCTTAAACAGACGATGCTGGCATGATTTATAAGTGTTGCCATGTCTGTTACTATCGCTTAAATCAGAGTCACGCTCGGTTTTTGAACATATAATTGACTGATAATTGATTCAGTGATATATTATACATTTTGGATGATGAACCACCTTAAAGTGACTGGCTAGACCTTTGTCCCTTCCTGTCATAGACAGGGCACCTCTCGAATCGGAAGGCCTACAAAGGGTAGCTAATATGAAATACATTTTCCACAATCTAATTTGTTGTTTTTTTTGTTGTTGTTGTATTTTCATTTTTTTTTTTTTTTGGTTGTGTGTTTGGGGGGACGGACATTATAACATTTTTTTATGTGATCACTCGGGGCGTGGGGTAAAAAATGAAAGGGAAGCCAATGCATCTATTTTGTTAGCTCCAACATATTTTAATTACGCCGCAAATACGTTATACATAGAATCACGTACATTGGTCTTGTTATTAAATTCGTCCGATGCTAACTATTACCATTGTCATTGGGATATCAAGCGATTGTCAACACAAAACAACAGTAGGATGACTTTTTAAAAGTAAAAAATAATCAAATATTGATTTCACAGATCTTTAGGTTAAAATTGGCTTCTTTGGATGTATTAGTGTCAGAAATTCAGGATAATTATTAAACATACGTTCATTCTGCCGAGCCCACCCCCCCCCCCCAACCGCTATAGGCACGCAACAGTATGCAAAATATTCAAAAACAACAACCTCCTCCTCCCCCTACAGTGCGTAATTAATAAATTAATATATGGAAAAAATAATCAAATATTGATTTCACAGCACTTTAGGTTAAAATTGGCTTCTTTGGATGTATTAGTGTCAGAAATTCAGGAGAATTATTAAACATACGTTCATTCTGCCGAGCCCACCCCCCCCCCCAACCGCTATAGGCACGCAACAGTATGCAAAATATTCAAAAACAACAACCTCCTCCTCCCCCTACAGTGCGTAATTAATAAATTAATATATGGATGGACTTATATATCATACTGATTTTAGAAATTTAAATTCATTGACTCTGTGCATGCTCTTCATTATAGTTTTATTTCCTGGCATTACGCACTGTAAAAATACCGGCGGACATCAGCAACCCCCAGGTGGGCGGGGGTATGCAAAAGGTAACGTTGTTGTGTAGACCCACTTTTTTGTTTTGCGCCCCCTGTTAACTGAGCCTCTTCCCATAACCCCATAACTCACCCCACCCCCCCAAACCCAAGGCACGGATCGATTTCTTAAAATAGAGAACAAATAAAAAAAAAATTGATGTAGAGCAAATCATGTCCCAAGTGTATTGTGCAATGGACATGGTTTCTGTGAGACAACGCCGTGTTTTACCCTGAGAGTAGCATATGCCATGCCATTCTGGAAACAAATTCCGTCGTAAACAGGGTAAACGCAGACCTTTTGCTTTGCTATACAGTTTGCTACCGCTCAGTGTTTCTAAAATCATGGGGTTTTCAAAATATTCGCTACGAGACTGAGGGTTGTGAATGAACCGTGGCTTTCGTGTGTACATTTTGCCAATGCATGTGAAAGCAAGATGATAGAAATGATGAACATGCACATAATATTCACATGATATACTAATATTTTCGTTGGATGTTAATACAATAGTACCACGTTCGTGAAAAGTTGTAGGCTAGATCAACTATATGAATAATGTTGAAATACAATAAAATATCGCTTAGCATTCAAAATTGATCTGTGGTTATTATACACGTTAAACACATGATGCATGCGCTTTCTGTTTGTTTTCTAACTTGTCATTTTCAAATTCAAAGGCCGGCACACAACTTGTTTAAGTTTAAATCATGACACTTAATAATCTGGATATAACATACATTTGAAATATTTAATTTTGAACAAAATATTTTTTAACATTCTCATGAAACTACTGTTACAAATAAACATAATAATTTACATTTTAAAAAAAAATGGAGACAAAGAAGGCTCGCTCCCCATCTGGGAGTTGATCACAAAATATAACATCGCCTAGTGTCTACTACTCTACCACAAGACCACACAAGATGAAATTATCTTTTTGCCGCGGTGTACGCAGGCACGGGTCCATATGGTTTTGCTAGGTACACCGCCGCGGTGTACGCAGGCACGTCGTTTTTTAAGTACCGCTACACCTGCTAAGTAAAATTTGGGAGCAGGGCATTAAATTATAGATAAATAACAAGAGAGAAAGAGAGAGAGAGATACATTTATTCATTCAAAGAACCGCATGTGATTTCTGAACCGCAAGTTGCAGACCACTGGTCTATGTAATGGTAATTCATAAGCTAATCCAAGGACGCGCAAACTGATCAACCTATTTCGTGATAATAATAAATTATAAAGATGAGAATTGAGAGACGGCAATCTCAATCCAGGTTAGAGTTAGAGGTAGAGTAGAATAGAAGGAAGTAAGAGCAATTTAATTCCTTTCACCTTAACTCTCTGCAGTCTGACGTTTTTTTCACATTTCTTAAAAATCTTAATGTGATTTTTTAAAATAATTAATTAACTGATCTGAAATAGCTCTGATCTGATCAGTTAAATATATTAACTTGTTCATCTTTGACTCAGCTATCATAAGATATTTTTTGTATATTTTATTTTCTTAGTTATAAAAATAATTGAAACATTATTGGAGAATTATTTTTTTTCATTTTATGCAAAAATTTGACCAAATCTTTACACAGTATGAAGGAAAAAAAAATCCTTGTTATAAAAGATTTAAAATTTATTTAAATAAAATACTTCATCAACTTATACAATTCATAGTCAAACATGACAAAAATTCTTTGAACAATCAAAAAGTTGTCAACATTTTAGCAAAACCTATATTTTGTCTTTTTTTCCTAAAAAATGCACTATAATTTTTCTTTTAATGAAAATTATGTTTTGTATGTAATATATTTTAAAAAATGGGTCTCATAGCTTATAGATTTGTATATTAAATATATTTCTTAATAATTCTTGAGTAAAAGATGACTAAGTAAAATTTGATGAATATATAAATAACTCAAAACAAGAGTCAATTTTTTTTTTTTTAAATTTTAAATAGCGGTATTCGCTGATGTTAAAGTTAAAAAAAATTAAAATGTATCAGTACAATAATGCTAATTTTGATATTAATGTCAAATACAATCCATTCCTCACTAATGTGATCTATTTTTTCCCATGTACCGGCATTTTTATATATCTTTGTTATAATCCTCACATAACACAGGCTGATAAACTACAGTATTCCTTAATTATATTTATGGACTCTGAACAAATATTATTTCTTAAAACAGTCTGCAGTTTTATTATAATAATTATATTTGATAAATAAGAGCTTGTCCTGGACTTGATTTCTACATAAGATTAGGTAAGATTTTTCACCACAGAATATTCACTCAATAAAGAACCTGTGGAAAAAAAAAATTTGATTGATTCATAAATAAATTAACACTAATGGTATCAGTAATGGTATGCTATCAGTAAGGGAAAATACCATTAATCCTAGTCCAAGTGCCTAAATTAGTATAAAAGTAAACCATTGTACATAGAAAATACATTATAACATATGTTATAACAATATTGTGAGTTTATTCTTTATGCATTTTGCTACCAAGTGATTAGATTAAAACTTACCACCACTTGTTTTTAGGGTAAAATCTTCAAAGATATTCATCCAGTAACTCTGTAACTCAGTAAAAGGGTGGAGTCCAGGCTTAATATTTAGGATCAATAAGGAATAAGGGCTTCTTGATCCAATATCTGCATTTTTGTCTCTCTCTCCTCCTTCCCAATAGAGTTAGAGAGCTTTTAATAAAAACATAAATGTTTTTTTTTTTATTCTGCCGACAGTAGTCTCTACTAATACTAGTGACTAGCGATAATGATAATTAAATTTAAACACATTTCTACTATGCAATATTAGAAAATTTAGAAGATTATTCTTGGCTGTAACATATTTTAAAGAAATATATTTAGTTAATAACTCAGAAGTCCTTAACTTTAAATTTATTTAATTACGCAAGTTCCAATCGACCGAAATTTTCCGCTATTTTTTTAAAATATTTATTTCGCATAGCGACGCTATTTATTTATTATATAATTATTGAAACTCAATATAATTCAAATAGAATATATCAATGTAAGTATAAATGGATAATATATACTTCAGCCAATTAAAATTATAAAATTATCACTTTATTGTTTTATTATTAATTTTAAAGTCGGGAAATGATAATTAAAATTAAGCTTACTTGTTTACGATAGCATTAGTCGGTACTTTTATATGCAAATCGTGATAAATTTCATGATTAGAGTCTCCATTTGGATACATTGCTTTAGACAAACAAATAACTCCTTGATAAATCGGGAAATTAAAATCATTTGACAATATTCATACTACTATTTAATTTTTTTTGTGAGACTTATATTTTTTGTTTTTTTGGAAATCTGCGAAGCTTTCAAGGGATACTCCGCGCTGAATAAGTTTCCAAAAATATTTTTTTTAAATAGTAATTTCAAATTTTGTAATAATTTTAATTTTTTTACAAATTTTTAAACCAATGAAACAAATTATTAAAATATAATAAATACTTTTTTTCAATAAAAAAAAAAGTTAAAAAATAAATAACCCACCCACAAAATCTATGGTACTTATATGTACCATTTCTCTATAGTCGGACTGCAGAGAGTTAATGCGATTTTTAAAATTTCAGTGTTACATGCAGAATTTGTCTCAAAATTTGAATGCAACAAATAGCCCATAGCAATTTAATTCCTTTCACATTAATGCGATTTTTTAAATTTCAGTGTTACATGCAGAATTTGTCTCAAAATTTGAATACAACAAATAGCCCAAATGGGCTATATGTTTTATCACAATATCTTTATTTTAAAACTATTGTCCCATTACTTTTATTTTGGTAAAAGTGCAGTTCAGGTGCGTATATTATTTCTGTTTGAATCTCTTATTTTCCCGTGTAAACTTATGTTAATTCTTTATATAAAAAGTATTTTAAAAGTTATATACCATCTTTTTATTGGAATACAACAACAATTTAACAATTTAACAAATTTTACGAGATAAAAAAAGTACATTTTTATGAATCTTTCGTGTTTTACGGAGCCATTGTGGTAAATCTGTCTGGGGCTGCATTCAGAAAAAAACATCTGCTACGTCCTTTTAGTTCACATTGTTATTAAAGGAAATGTCAACAACAAAACAACAACACTATAGTAAAAATAATAATAATTAATTTGTCTCCTATTAAAAACAAGTAAAATAACTTATGTAAACCTTTCATTTTTCCCGTTTTCCGATGGCACCCGGAAGGCACATGATGGGATCCCAAACCCGATGTGATTCCGATAGAATCCTGGTCAAGGTGGGATCCCGATCCCGGTAAGATACCGATCCCAGTGAGATCCGTTTCCGGTGTTATCCCAAACTTAATGAGATCCCAATCCGGTGGGATCCCGTTTCGGTGAGATTCTGATCCCGATAGGATTTTGATTCTAGTGAGATCCTGATCCCGGTGGGATCCTGATCCAGTGGGTTACCGATCCTGGCGGGATACCGGTTACGGTGAGATCCCGTTTCGGGTGAGATCCCGTTTCGGGTGATATGCAGATCCCGGTAATTATGGGGAGCTCACATACTTGACATACGAACCCAGCTTACAAGCCACATTGCAATTGTTACGAGCGCCTTAGGAGAAATTCCAGTTGTATTAACGTTATTTGTTGCCCCACAAGGTGCGCATATAAACCAAATGCTGCACCATTAAAAATGCCTGTTGCATGAACAATTTTAGTTATTGTTTCTTGGTCGTCCTGCCATTTTAAACAAAATGATCCTACAACCAGCAATACCGCAAAGCCAAAACGAGTCAGTCTTATAATATAATAAAATAATCACTAGCCCTCACTTTACTCAGCGCAAATCAGTCACCAGTAATAAGCGCATTTGCATACGAAAAAAGAGGAGGGGTGCTCAAATTAGAGCTGACCAATCACGGACAGCGTATTAGCAGCCTTCAGGGTGATCAGCTTCACACCAGGTCCAGGACAATGATGACGTGGGTGTCCACTGCTTAGTCAGTGATCCACTTCTAATCTCCCCCACCCCCCCTCCCCCAACCCGACTTCAAAGGACAACCCCTATATTCCGAGCTCTCTGAGAGGGAAAAAAAAGAAAGGGGGGGGGAGGGGGGCTTGTGCATAATGAAAAATCTAGTATTTCATTCTTTTTTGTGAACATGCTTAGTTTGAAAATTTCGTTTAGCATACTAACTTATAGGTGGCTAAAAATCTGGCATAGCGTAAAAAGAAAAATACAAACAAATGGGGGCTGTGTCACTTTGGTTGGGGGATGTTTAAAGACTCTTTAGAAGTAAAATAAAAAGAAAAGATGCGATTAATAATTCAGAATTAGTTAACTATAACTGCCTGTATTAAATTATTAAAGAATACACGTAAGTTTAAATTTTAAAATACGAAAAGCGCTAAGAAATAATAAACGCACCTGAACTGCACTTTTACCTTAATTTTAATATTATCGAGTATTCAAATTAAGATTGTTGTGACCCAGCTGGAGATGAAAAATAAACTTTTTTGGGGTATAATTTAAGTGTTAAATAGATTTTCACAAATTAATCGTAACCTTTTGAAAACATTCTTTAATTGTGTACTGTTAAAAACAAATTAATTAATTTTCAAGAGTGTCTTTTAGGAACATTTCTCTTAACTTAACTGAATGTAGATTGATGACTGTATAATAGTATTAGCATTTAAATTGATGTCACTGTATGTAGATGGATATGCATGGCTAAATTTTCATTTTATTTTTCTCTTCTCTGTTTTCAAAAGGTCAGCAAGTCATGTCCCACAAAAAAGGAGTTAATATTTGTGCTAAGAGTGCTTTACACCTGCTTTATAAATAATTTGTTTATGACTGAGCATTTCTTAAATTACAGAATAAATCTTAAAGAGCAAGTTATATTGACAAAGAATAAGACACAGCAAATAAAAAAAAATGACTGCTATTCCAGATCAGGTAATAAATCTTTGGTCACAAAATTTTAAAAAAAAACAAACTTTTTTTCTTCATGTTATTCTTCATGTGATAAATTATAAAATTATGACTTAAAAGTGCAAGTGTTCAAAATGGTTTTAAAAATACATATGGTGCAATTGCTATAATTTTACTTTATAGACATATCTGGTACTATTTCCTTTTTTTTAATTCTCTATTCACAAATATACCAATGCTTAGCTTTCTTTTCACAGGAATTGGACTACCACTACTCTCCACGGAGATGGTCCCACAGAATGGCTCCAGAGGAGGTTATTGCAGCCCATACAGAAGCTTTAGCTCAAGGTTTGTGTCATAAACTTTAGGCATACAGCCAGTCAAAAATCTTAAAGTGCATGAGTTGATAAAAAACTTTTGGAAACCTGATACTTTAATGTACTTTTAAAACGAATAAGAAATAAATTTGCTGAAGATTTGTTGGAAATTCAAAAGTAAGGAGTTAATTTGATTAATAAGAGAGTAACAGTAACATAGTATTAAAATACAAATAGGCCCAACATCATTTAAGATGTTATCAAATTAGCTTGTCATTGTCAGTGTTCTCTTTTAAAAAAATTCCAGGTAGCAGAAACTCACTTTGGACACTTGATTGTGAAACCGAAATAAGTTACGGAGACTCAGAGAAACAGAAGTTTGATATCTTCAATAAGAAAAATGCTTCAAAGAATGGTTTGATTTCACTTCATTTAATTCTGATTCTCACCTGTTTAAATATATCACCACACTTAGTCTTGTATGTCACCAGCATCTGCCAATACCCATCCGCCCATATAAGCCAGATTCTCACCCCTGAATATATCACCTCATTTAGTCTTGTATGTCACCAGGAACTGTCAATACCCTTCTGGCAAATAAATCGCAAACACTGTGACTGTGTTTTTAAAAAAAACCCACAAAAACACTTTGTTTGAAGGTAACACAACAAAGACCCAACAAAAAATTCTGCTATGTTTTATTTTTTGGATTGATATCCAATTATGTTCAATTGGATTTTTTAAAACTTTTGATAAAAATAAAATGTAAAAAAATATAAATTAAGTTTTTTTTTTGTGGTATTTAATTTTATAGGCTATAAAATGTAGAAGGAACAAAAATTATACCTCCCTTTTTAAAAAATGAAATATACTTATTGAATATTCATACCACATTTTTCCTTTAGCTCAAATTGTCCCTTTTCTTAGAATGTCTTACTTTAATTTTGATTGGTTTTCTAATTCTGTGCATACATGCCAACCTTGGGATCAAAGTACAATAATTCCTACAAAAAACTGTACAATTAGCATGAAAAACTGTCAGAAAAAAATGAAAACTTGAAACATAATAAATAATTTATAACCTTTTTGATCATTTTTTATCTGTTTTGAATGCAATTTGTAAAAATGGACTCAGGTGATGAAATTTATAGAAATTTAGATCCTATTAGACATAATTTTTCATTTAATTATGCTAGCTATAGTTTACAGATTCCTGTTTAAATTAACCTAGTAATATATCATCACATAGTGTTGACAAAGCTACCGAGTTCAGTTTACAGTCAACATTTGAACTAATTTTTCACCATAGGATACTTGAGGAAAATTTCCTGAGGGTATAGGATTTAAAAAAAAAAACTCAATGGGCTATGTTGATAGAATATTATGCCATTAGGAAGTTTCCAGTTGGAATAGAAAAAAGATACAAAAAGAATACAAAACAATAATAATATATGTAGAATTCTCACTGATTTCTGCTTTAAATAACATATACAATAAAGGAGAACAGCCTTATTAAAAGCAGATAATACAGTTTTACGCTGTCTTAGTACCGGTATTAAGGAATGACATTAGTGAGACCGCGCTCAGTTTCTAAATTTAGATGGCCAGTGAGATTTAAACTTCCTGTTGTCAAACATTGAATTTATTGCACCGCCAGTTTTGAACGTGTGTCTTGCGGAAAAATTATTTATTTTCTAAATCCAATGAAAAACCGCACAAGAATCTCTCAAGCCGTCCAACTTGGCAAACATTTGCATATATGGCATCCTAAGAAAATTATGTGTGAACCGTACAGGTTTGCTTGTGCGATTCCTTGTTAATTTCATGATGTAATTTCAACTTATTTCAGGAGCTCCCATATTTGCATATATCCATGGTGGATACTGGCAAGTTAAAGAAGTAAGGTAAATGAAAACTCACCCTTTCAGAAATCTCTTCATTCTCATATACATCCTCTCAGTCTACCAGTCATCCTCTTGTATATCATTCACCATCTCAGTTTATCATTCTCTCTCTCAGTTTATCATTCACTCTTTATTATTATCACAATGCTATTCAGGCTTTGTAACTTTTTAAAACCACTTTCGTGAAGTGGAGATTTAGACTTAAAAATCATCACTATATTTCTCAAGCATTCAAAGGATATTTAAAAAAAAAATAGCAATGCTTTTTTTTCCTTTTATATTTCTGCTCCTAGTCGGGAAATTTCCAGTTTTATGGCAGTGCCTCTGTGTAATGCTGGCGCCAGTGTCATTAGCATAGGTTATGACCTAGCTCCTGATGGTAAATATTGTGCAAATTTAAAGAATGGCTGTGTGGTCAGTTATTATTGGTCTAAATGTGACCCATTAAAATCCTGGAGGCATAACTTATATTTTACATTATATTAATTTTTTTAATGATTTAATCTCAAATATTAAAGTTCTTGATTTTATAACTTCTATAAGAAAGAAAATACAAATACAAAAAAAATAAAAAAATTAAAGGAATGAGCCGGGGAAAAGTCACTGAATAAGCTGAGAATGAAAGCCAGTCTGACATGCCAGGAAATACACCAGATTTATTTATAACAAATCAAATTATACATTATACGGGGTGCAAAGAGAAATGACCATTAAATTGAGAATTATTTTCCTCGTGGTCACATGCGGCAATCATTTGGTAATATTATGGTTAGATGGCAGTGTTCTTTTATGATGTGATGGCAGGGTTGATTTCAAAGTTGATGTAAATTTTTAAAAATAAACTTGTATAATCCTCCAGTATCATTAAACACGATAGTGCTCCAAATAAAACGAGCTCTTTGTCTTATCATCAAGATAGCTAAGGAAAGACAGAGCAGGTAAAGTTGAGAAGCCTTTTTCTTTTTAAACTAACTTTCTTTTTGCATTTTAACTAAGTTGAAAAAACTGAACAGTAAATAATCTAAATGAAACAATAATCGATTTGCAAATTTGGTCTGAAATTAAACACAAAACATTTTATTTGAATGCATCAATTTAATTAGGGATCTTGTTATTCACTTCTCATTTTGTAACCAAAGTCTTCTATTTCAATACTATTTTTTGGCCTTGTTCTGGAGGTATTTATTTTCTTGTTGCTTACTATTCTCATATAAACATTTAAAAAAATACATTTAATGGAATTGCCTTCAAATAAATTTTTGTGACGGATTAAGTCTTCTCCATTGTGTTTTTATTCTTAATCCATTTGAAATTCATTTTTACGGAAGTTCATTTATTACTAATCAAGAACCAGCTTAACGTAAAAAGATTTTTGACCAGTCCAGAGTCTTGATCTATGTTTGTTAATAACCTAGACCGCCTATATAGAATGGATGCCTTTATTTACAGTGGTATCTACTTGTCTGGGCACTCTGCTGGAGCACACATGGCAGCCATGATGTTAATGGCAGACCTTGATGGTTTTGATAGGGATCTGATCAAAGGTGAGACTTCACAAGAATTCTGGGCAGGGAATAGTCTGGCTACCTCATTGGTGGCTTAGGAGACATGCAGTTGGATGAACACAGACATTTTCTGATGCTGTGGGCACAATAATAAGATGAAAAAATCATGAATGTAAATTTGTATGCAGACTTAGTGTCAAGTGCTTGAAAAAATTAAGTTAGGCTTTGATTTTGATGATATTTATGATATTTAACACAATTTCAGCAGAAGGATAGTTGCTGACTGATGTCTAAATAATAATATGTTGTACTTTGTTACAGGTGCTGTTCTCATTAGCGGCGTGTATGATTTGAGGCCCTTAGTTAAAACATCAATAAATGAGCCATTAGGGTTAACAGAGTAAGTTTAAGTTTGACTCAATGTGTTTTAGTGCAATTTTAAGCTTTGTAAGATTTTTTGCTGTCTGTATTAGAAGTTATATGAACGTAGTACTAAAACTTTTTTTTGAATAAAGTGAAAGAAATTATTTTGAACGTAACTTAGTACTGGTAATTGTAAAAAGAAAATATTTTTTTAACTTTCTCACTCCCCCCCTTTTTTTTTCTCTTCTAAATTTAAAAAATGATGTTACGCACTGCTATCTGTAGGGAGAAATTAATCTCCTATTTACATGTGTGGCTTGATCCAAAATAGTGCATAACAAAAGACAATACCAAAAGATAAAAACAATAACAGAGAAATACGATACTCGGAGCAGGGCTAATTACAATTAATAAGTTTTATTAAGCTATAAATAAAGTACAAAAGTCAAAAAGAAATATAATTGAAAACTATTAACTTACAGTATATTGTGTGGCTGGTAACAGTACAATGTCCGAATAAAACACATTGTGCAAAAAGGTACAAATAATGAATGGAATGGCTATTATAAACAAAGCACACACATTTTCTAAAATAACTCGCACACTGTCTGCACCTCGCGCATTGCAGTCTGTTGTGTCATTCAACCACTCGCCGTATTGATAGTCTATTCCATGGGAAATAACAGACATATTACACATTATATTAGTGACTCAATATTCGACAATTTTATATCAAATTCGAGTCAACAGACGATAGATCAAAGGGAGTAAGCCACGCCCTGTACTAACGCAGGCTAATTTAGGTCAGCTTAAGGCCATTCACCAGGAAATGATTAAATAAGAGTATAATATAGAACACCTATATATAACAATGAAAATGATAATTTTGTTCATGATTATTTTATGAATAAACTAAATTTCCCTCATCTTAAGTGATGTTTTATGAACAGGGTTGATGCTTGGCGGTTAAGTCCTCATCAGTTTGTGCAAGAGATCGCACATCAATCTCAAGACCGTCACATTGTTGTTGCTGTGGCTGAATATGATCCTCCAGAGTTTAGACGCCAGAGTGGAGAAATGGAGATGGTAGGACAAGCATCTTACTTGATAGAGTAAAAGAGTTGGAGGAAAAAAATAATTTAAAAAATTATCTATTAACTCTTTACATTCCTTGAATTTCAAATTTTTTTCATGAGATTTCTAGTGACCCTACAAAATAGTCAATAACTTTCAGAATACATGTCTGAAAATCATGATGTTATATTAAATTTGTGTGGAAATGCATGAGGCTTCTATAAATGTTTCTTTCTAAACTTAGATGAATTAGACACACAAACATTTTTGAAAATAAAAAACACTAAGTTCAGCTTTAATTATGATCATACAGAATACAAATATAAACGTTTCAGCAAATGCCTTCATCAGTACAAAAAAAATAGCAAAAAATTCATATAATTATAAATTATGTTTACATAATATATTATATACATGTATCCTACCTAAATTATCTTCCTCAGAATCACTTTATTACGGTTCTCAGTTACCTTCCTCAGAAGATTCAGATAGAAATTGAGTGATATATTCACCAGTAATGTTCATTTTAATAGCGATTGCACTGTGATGAGGATTAGCGCTTGACAAAAATGTTCCTAAGATGGTGATTCTCGCTTTGGCCTGTCGCGTGTATCTTGAACTCCCAAACCTTTTAGAAGCATTAAAATGTTTTTAACTATTTTTTAATATATTATTTATCTGTATGATGAAATAAACATAGAATAATTAAAATAATAAAAAAGGCAACATTTTATGAGTGAAAACAACCCAAGCACCATATATAATGTTGTGTTCTCTATGTAAGGGGAATGAAAAGAGTTAACTGACGTATTTATTAAGTTTTCAAAAATATATTTTAGTGATAGATTAAATAACTGATTGATACACAGCTACGTAACACATGATCATGACCGCTAGTAATTTTAATTTTATTTATCATTTGTTTTTTATGTAAAACATTATCAACATTACCATTCTCATTTATTAATGAGTTTCTATGAGTAATGTAAATTAAATCTCTTCACCTTTCAGGCGCTGAGAAAATTTGGAGTGAAAACCAGCTATTTGGATGTACCTGATACAGACCACTTCAATCTTGTTGATAAGCTTACGGAACCTAATTTTGTACTCACCAAGGTAAAGGTCACTCCTATTCCTATCCCATGTTGTTATATCTCTGAAAAAATGTGAATAAAAAGGGATGTTAGGAAAACTAACTTTGACCATTTATTTAAACATTGTAGGGGGTCAACATGTGAATTAAAGCTCCAAGTAAGTTGTATATAATATATATGTATATGTGTGTGTGTGTCATTTTACAGGCACTTATATAGACTGACTTAGTTTTACTTTGGAAATAGAAGAACAGGGGTACATCAGCGGTTCTCAACCTGTATGTCTTTCTCTTTCCCTGTCGCTCTATCTCTGTTAGTTTGTATTTCTCTCTCCTTGTTGCTCTAACTCTGTGTCTGACTCCCCTGAACTCTCTATCTTCAAGTGTCTGTCTTGCTATATCTGTCTGTTACTCTTTACTAAATTTACTCTTAAGTTCATTCATACAGTTACAGCTACTGCTAGAGAAAATAAACTAGTTACTAATTTTGGGCCAAAATTGTAAGAAGCACAGCAGTGACATCAGAAACTTAGAAACTATGATTTTAAATCTGATTTTCATGTTAAATATATTTTTTAATGATAGTTACAGACATGAACCATATTCTTATAACTTATAGTTTAAACAAAAAGGATATGCCTAAAGGGTCATTCGTAAATTATGTAATATGTCACGCTGAAAATGACCTTTTTAGACACCACCTCCAACGTGTCACGAAATGTAAAAAATTCTCCCCCCCCCCCCCCTCGTGTCACGTCACCTAAAAAATTCAAAACATACATAAAATTTTCATAACTAAACTAAGATTATATATTATTCTTTAACATTTTCCCATAATGCAGCAGTTCTAAACCTGTTGGCCGCGACCCCTTTATGGGTCGAATGACCTTTTCAAAGGGGTCGCCAAAGACAATCGGAAAACGCATAGCCTCTACAGTTATGAGGTACCAACGAAAATAATTTTATGAATTGGGGTCGCCACGACATGAGGAAATGCATTAAAGGGTCGCGGCAGTAGGAAAGTTGAGAACCAATGTCATAATGGATTAAGATGTAGTATTATTAGAAAACAGAGTTTAATGGTACCTATAATACCTGAGTCAATTTCGACCTCAAATTATCGTTTTAAAAATTAATTAAAGTAAGATTTCTTTTCAGAATTTGAAAATTTTAGAGGTAAAAAAAAAAGTGCCATCACAATTTTTTGACACCCCCTCCCCTTCCCCCTCTCACAAAGTGTCGCATATTCTCGATCCACCCCTCTCAGAGCGTGACTTAATTTGCCAACCACCCCTATAATGTGAACATTTACTTATAAAAACTTATAATGATCAAACCTTGATAGACTACTACAAGGGAAAAAAACGGCAGAGTCCATTTTGACTCCACTCTCTACAATAATGAAATAAATCATGTTACATTCAAGACTAAATTACTTCATCTATTTAATAACTCAGGAAAATGGACACTCTTGTGAAATGCATTTTAAAAATTCTCTTCATATATATATATATATATATATATATATGTAATATATATATGTAATCTTCATGAATATATAAGTAATTTTACAAACACATATATAGACTTACTTCGTTTTACTTTGGAAATAGAAGAACAGGGTATGTGAAAGCTTGAAATATAAAGACAGGAAAATAAAAGAAGAAAAATATATATAATAACTCAGTAAAATAGACACTCTTGTGAAATACATTTTAAAAATTCTCTTCATATATATATATATATATATATATATATATGTAATATATATATGTAATCTTCATGAATATATAAGTAATTTTACAAACACCTATATAGACTTACTTCGTTTTACTTTGGAAATAGAAGAACAGGGTATGTGAAAGCTTGAAATATAAAGACAGGAAAATAAAAGAAGAAAGTTTTGACTAAGGACCTTCCTCAACAGACAGGACAAATGAAAAGATAGCAAGAAATAGAAAGTACCCACCAAAAAAAAACAACTTAAGTGTTCACCATATTCATGATATTGCTAGAAGTTTTGTTTTTCCAAACCAACGTTTCAGGAAGTAAAAAGAATTTAAGCACTATTGCTGTAAAAAATAATATTTTAACGGACAGACATATTTGTTGATATGTCAAATATTTGTATTATTTAAAGTGGTCTTATAAAGCGCTGTACCCCAGCCTAGGGCAAGGCTCACAGCACTTCACATAAAGATTAGCAGAAAGAAAAAAAAAAAAAGAAACATGAAATTAAAAAACAGTTACATAAAATTATTCATTTAAAAACGGCTATGTAAAAATATTGACCTCACCCACCCAAATGCTATTTACTCCTTCAAGCCATGGACGGCACCCAGCAGCATCGAGCGTTGTTTATCGGTCAGAGGGGGGTGAGAATAAGTCAGAATGGTAATAATAGAAAATATAAGAAACAAGAAAAAAGAAATACAGGAAATGGAGGATCACTAGTAATATGATAATATTTTGCAGAAAAGCTGAATTAATTTTTTCCCTATCTAACTCTCACTGGTGAGTTAGTGCAGGAAATCAGTGCAGTGATGGAAACATACCTTGTTCTACCATTTCTTTCTGCTTGAATGCAGATCTTGATTTATTATAGTTTTATTTACAATGTTTCTAATCATTATGATTAAAGAAACCTGCTGTCAGTATACATATAGGGGAAAGCTTTATTCAAGTCATACCCAGTAAACTTAAATGGAAAGTTGTTTGCTAAGGGTCTGTTTCAGTTGACATCAGATGTAGGCCTGCAGATTACCTGGATCTTTGAGCAACAGCAATGACTAATAATACAGTAGCAAGTGAATTAGAGAAAAATGGAACAAGCTCCCGTGCACACTAATGAATTTTTTTTTTTTTTGCTCCTAATTTTAAAAAGACCCACAAATACTCCATCTCATTAGTACTTGTGGACACAGATAGTTGCTAGTACTTGTGGATCTAGATAGTTGCTAGTACTTGTGGAAAAAGATAGTTGCTAGTACTTGTGGATGTAGATAGTTGCTAGTACTTGTGGAAATATATAGTTGTGCCTTTTTTAATAATATTTATTATTTTCTCATCAAATGATTCAAATTTCAGGAATGTATTCGACTCATGGGGTTATGATGTGACAGCCAACACAATCTCTCTATGATGTGATAGACAACACCATCTCTTTATAATGTTACAGACAACACCTTTTCTTTATTATGTGACAGCCATCACCATCTCTTTATGATGTGACAGCCAACACCATTACTTTATGCTGTGACCGACAACAACATCTCTTTATGATGTAACAGCCAAAGTCATCTCTTTATGATGTGAGAGCCAATGCAATTTATTTATTATTTGACAGACAACACCATCTTTTTATGATGTGACAGCCAACACCATTTTTTTATGATGTGACATACAACATAATCTCTTTATGATGGGACAGCCAACACCATCTCTTTGTGATTTGAGAGACAACACCATCTCTCTATGATGTGACAGCCAACACCATCTCTCTATCTTTCTCTCTCTGCTGCACAGTAAAAACGATGTTACGGTGTATTGTTCTTTCTCAAAAAGTTAATGCATCCTGTAAATGTTTTGCATATTTTAACCTTGTTATGCCCAAAACTTATGTAATTATAATAGGATGACTTAAACCTGAAATGAACCATTATATAATGATGAGACTATATTTGACTTTGTTGGGCTTGCTGTGATACTTGTTGCCACCAGAGAACATGCAGCATTCCTCTCACATTGCCATAACAATTTCTTTTTGTTATGCATTATAAAGTTAGTGGAACCAGATGTTATTTTTATTTCATAACAGAAACTTGATTACTGCTGATGTAAAGTTATACCTGCAGGGTTATAGTGGACTGCTTTCTTGTTACCAGCTCTATACCTGCAGGGTTATATTGGACTGCTTTCTTGTTACCATCTCTATACCTGCAGGGTTATAGTGTACTGCTTTCTTGTTACCATCTCTATACCTGCAGGGTTATAGTGGACTGCTTTCTTGTTACCAGCTCTATACCTGCAGGGTTATATTGGACTGCTTTCTTGTTACCATCTCTATACCTGCAGTGTTATAGTGTACTGCTTTCTTGTTACCAGCTCTATACCTGCAGGGTTATATTGGACTGCTTTCTTGTTACCATCTCTATACCTGCAGGGTTATATTGGACTGCTTTCTTGTTACCATCTCTATACCTGCAGTGTTATAGTGTACTGCTTTCTTGTTACCATCTCTATACCTGCAGGGTTATATTGGACTGCTTTCTTGTTACCATCTCTATACCTGCAGGGTTATATTGGACTGCTTTCTTGTTACCATCTCTATACCTGCAGGGTTATAGTGTACTGCTTTCTTGTTACCAGCTCTATACCTGCAGGGTTATAGTGGACTGCTTTCTTGTTACCAGCTCTATACCTGCAGGGTTATATTGGACTGCTTTCTTGTTACCATCTCTATACCTGCAGGGTTATAGTGTACTGCTTTCTTGTTACCATCTCTATACCTGCAGGGTTATAGTGGACTGCTTTCTTGTTACCAGCTCTATACCTGCAGGGTTATATTGGACTGCTTTCTTGTTACCATCTCTATACCTGCAGTGTTATAGTGTACTGCTTTCTTGTTACCAGCTCTATACCTGCAGGGTTATATTGGACTGCTTTCTTGTTACCATCTCTATACCTGCAGGGTTATATTGGACTGCTTTCTTGTTACCATCTCTATACCTGCAGTGTTATAGTGTACTGCTTTCTTGTTATATACCTGCAGGGTTATAGTGGACTGCTTTCTTGTTACCAGCTCTATACCTGCAGGGTTATATTGGACTGCTTTCTTGTTACCATCTCTATACCTGCAGGGTTATAGTGTACTGCTTTCTTGTTACCATCTCTATACCTGCAGGGTTATAGTGTACTGCTTTCTTGTTACCATCTCTATACCTGCAGGGTTATAGTGTACTGCTTTCTTGTTACCATCTCTATACCTGCAGGGTTATAGTGTACTGCTTTCTTGTTACCATCTCTATACCTGCAGGGTTATAGTGTACTGCTTTCTTGTTACCATCTCTATACCTGCAGGGTTATATTGTACTGCTTTCTTGTTACCATCTCTATACCTGCAGGGTTATATTGTACTGCTTTCTTGTTACCATCTCTATACCTGCAGGGTTATAGTGTACTGCTTTCTTGTTACCAGCTCCAACCTTGCCAGATTTTTAAAAAATGTGACTGCTTAAAAATACCATTATTGCCAAAGCAGCAAACACTTTTTGAAGATAAAAGTCTCATTTTTTGTAACTTTGAAATATAACTATAACTTTTTTAATAAAAAAACAGGTTAAAACTATTTTTATGTTCCCTATTAATAGAAGTATAAAAGTCAAATGTGTGATTTCTGTACAGGAAATACACTTGATTAAATTTCTCTAAATATTACAAATAAATCTTACTAATTTACCTGCTGCATGATGAATGGGTCAAACTCCTGATACACTATGAGCTCATTGGGATTTTAATTAATTGTTTTTGTTGGTCTCTTATGCAATAAATCCCATTTTAGTCGCCAGATTAAATCCCTAAATATTTCTTGACAAATTTTGTTGGGTTGCTAACAGTTGTTTGACATCACAATGCATAATAATTATGATGAAGTATATCTGAAAAATTGTAGACTAAGAAATTGGTTTAAATTTGAAGAAAAATTTATTGAAAGAAATTTGTTCAAAACGGAATTTGTTCAGAAGTAAATTTGTTTGAAGGAAAGTTGGTTAGAAATTTAATCTTTTGAATGAAGATTTATTTATTTTTTTTTGTTTTTAATGGAAGGTGGTAAATGTAAACTTTTTAATAAAGATTTTTTTTTTTTCAACTCATTTAATTTCGAACAAATTTCTTTCACATAGATTTCAATAATTATATTCAAAATGAAACATTGATTTAACACAAATGGATGAAATATTGATTTATCCCTAATCATCTTATTCAAAAGAAAGTATTGTGAAATTTTCCACTAAGACTTGTATTTGTATTGTAAATGAATGCTTAAATGACACTGTATTTCTATTGTTGAAGTTGTAATTGACAGTGTTGGTAGATATAAGCATTAAATTCTTCTAGAATTACACTGACAGTATTAGTAGATATAAGCATTACTTCATCTAGAGTTAAACTGACATGCAGTTTAATCAACTCATAGTCACCACTTTGATCAATACAGGATTTTAAATTTTACATGTGATTCTTGTTTATAAAATTGCATTTATTATATTTACCATTTACTTTATTGAGTTTGGATAGATCTTATAACATTTACATTATGGATATTATGTAAAAATTAACACAGCATTGAAGTATCTTGTAAAGTGTTGTGTTTTTTGTTTTTTTTTGGCTCAAGTTGTTTTTCATAACAAAGCCTACTTATTATGTTGTTGCATTAATGTCTTGGAATAAGCAGGGCTATTAGCAAGTAGTTGTTAATGAAGGCCATTTGTATAAGAAATTGTGATGGAAAACAAGTGCATCTGAATATACTTGTTATTCACTGTAGAGTTTACTTATGATTGAAGTCTTTAAATACACTACTGGTAACCAGACTGCTTTTATGCTTTTTAAAATTTATTTTTTTAATTTCTCTTTTTCCTAGATATTTGTATTTTCATTTATCTGATGTAGAAAATTGATTCCTGTTTTAAATGAAGGAAACTATTTACTTAATTTTGTACAAATAATGTCTGTTAAGATCGATGGTCACTTTCTGCCATTTTTATTGCATTTGCAATCAGAAGAGTGTCAAAAGTGCTTTTATTGGTCTGGATGTAAAATTTGAAATTTCTAAAATATTCGGTTTGTTGGTGTGCTGATTGATTTTGTTTGATGCAGGCATTGAAAATTCTGTTTCATATTTTTAAACTTATTTTATCGTCAGGTTTAAATTATGATGGAGGCAATAATTTTCAACATGTTAACTCTATAATTTGATCTGAAAAGCTCATTTTAAGTCTGATCTATCAATGGGCAGTACCATAAATAATATATCATGGTAGCAGAACATGAGGTATGTCCAGCAGTTTTTACATTGTCTTTTTTCTTCTATTGGTGCAATATTTGTTAAATGTAACTTATTTCATAATATATAACAATTGACTATGTCACTAAATAATCATTACTGTCAATTTAGTTTGTCAGGGAATACAGGTAGTTAATGTTGGTATCCAGAGGAATCTTTAAACAATGTATCATATAGTCAAGGCTTGATCAGTGGCGTAGGAAGGGGGGTGCGGAGGGGGCAGCGCTTTTTTCTTTATGTGGGACTTGCATTTTTGGCAAATTGCAGAGTTTTTTGTTTTTTTTGTGGATGTGGGAGGCAAAATTCTCAATTTGCCTGGGCGGCACTAACCCCAGCTGCGCCACTTGAATTGACTTAATGACCTATATCGCAATTATCATGCCTTAATAAATTTTATCTTAATTCAAATGATCTGTTACTTTTTGTTGGTAAATGTTTAAATTAAATGTTTAGACCTACACAGCAGAGAACCCTGTCTGGCCGTGTCTGTATAAATGGCATTAATCAAGGCCATTGAATATGAAATAGTTATCTTCCGTTACTGTATTAATTCAGTCTTAGTCTTATAGGCCATTGAATATGAAATAGTTATCTTCTGCTACTGTATTAATTCAGTCTTAGTCTGATAGGCTAT